GAAGGAGAAATACCAAGGCAAAGCACCTCTGATCGCAGACTCACCAGAGACGCATGTCAAAGCTCTGGAAGAGCATGAAATGGCTAACTTCGATGAATGGCTAATGGAAAAGAAGAGGAAGGAATCTCTTATCAGATTCAGGGCTAGCATTCATGAAGAAGGAGAACCCTCAACTGTAAATGATATTGCTCTGACCATGATGAAGCTTGTCAAGGAATGGAGAGCTTCACAGTTTGAAGAAACTGTTCTTGAGGTCATCCCTTCACCCATCCTCTCCCCTCACAAATCCCCTGTTATTTCTACACCTGCTGGCAATCCACCCAAAACTCCCTCACTTCCTAAATCCCCCTCTAAACCCTCATCTTCACTCCAACAGAAAACCCTCTCACCAAACCAGAAAACTCCAACCTCTACTAGAACTCCATCTCCCCAAAAACCAAAATCCAGATCCTCATCACCTTGCAAACAACCCTCAAACACCAGAAATCGATCACCTTCACCCCCACCATCTCCCTCACATCAACCTATTCCTCAACCGATTTCCTCCAACTACCAGAGCTCCCCTCACCAGAAAATCCCATCTCCCCAGAGTTCACCCCATCAGAAATCCAAATCACCCTCCAGAACTGCCTCACCACAGAGATCAACCCACCACTCTGTAGCTTCTACACCCAAGAGGGAACCAGTCTTCAGAGTCCTCTCTTCAGAAAGTGACAATGATGGATTCCTCACATCCTCCATTGCGGCTGATGAAACATCTAAAAGGAGAAGGACACCTCCAAGAGTTCCTTCCCCTACACCATCCATCAGAGTTCCTCCATTTCCCAAGAGCAGAGGATTGGAGATGCCAGGATTTACACCTGAAGAACCCCAGATTCCTTTCAACCAGTTTGTGAAATCTGCAGAAGAATTTGGTGGTCTGTTGGTTCATGATCTAAGCAAGATCATTGAGCTGAACGATAAGCATCACGAAGAGCTAACCCATACCAACCTTCAACTCACAATCGGATTCCAGCATATGACAGACAAGGTTGTTGCACTATCAGAAACTCTGCACAACTTCATGCATTCATCTACGGTAAGAATAGACTCTGTCTCCAGAGATGTCAGTGGCATCAACTCTGTTCTCCACTCTCACTCTCAAGCTCTACTTGCCCAGCACCAGACAATCAAGCAGATCTCAGACTCTGTTAATACTCTTCAAAAATCTGCTGATAGTTCATCTCAGAAGCTCACAGTCTTACACTCCCTCTGCAAGGAGCATCAAGAGCAAGGCCTAGCTCTCATCAAGTCTGATAAGGAACGATATCAGAAGATGGTTCTTCTAGAATTCAGCACTAAGGATCTCCAATCTGCGGTCGACAAGCAACAGAGCCTGATTGAAGGACTTGCCTCTGTCACTCAGACTCTGCCAGAGACTCTTGATGAGATCAGAGATGCCCAAGCCTCTGAGTTCTCCAAGATTGAGCTCCTCCTTGGCGATCTTATTGATGCCAAAAAGGGGGAAGATACCAGAGAAGAGGAAGGACCTAACACTAGAGCCCTATCTATCAGAGAACCCTCCTCTACTGTTGATCCTGCTCCATACTTTGACGCAGCCAGAAAGAAGAGACTAGCTGCTGCAGGTACCAGACCTCCACCTCCTCCTCCAAGAAGCTCAAAGAAAAAGATCTCAAAATTCTCATTCAATGATTGGATGAAGAGTGGTCTGTCAAGGCCAGACAGAGCTCAGTTTGAATAGATGAGGAAGCTGATGACTCCCCTACAACGAGAGAATCTGTTCATGGATAGTGATGGACTTGTCCAGATCAACCATGGTGGTTCTATCCAAGAAGCAGAAATCTGGTACGGGATGAAGGTTCTCACTGGCAAGAACACTACAGAAGTTGTTAGAAATTACTTGGACTGCAAACTTGCACCTCATTGGGATGACTATCAGAATCCGAGGGATCTAGCCTCAATCAGAGCTAAGGTCAATGCAGAACTCGAAAGGATTGACAGAGCAGGACCACAGGTAGATGAAGAAGATCTCTAATTCTCTATCTCTGACTCTGTAATTTACCTCTCTGATAAATAAGATACCAACTCTGCCTCTTTTTTGCATGGCTTACACAAATGTCTGTTCTTATTTACTCTCTGTACCTTCCTTGTGTTTGCTCTGATACCTTATTTGTTTTAATTGTTATCTGAATGTATCGTACTCTTACTATTTTCCTATGCTAAGTTGCCCACCAAGATTCTAATGAAAAGTTTTAAACTTTATTTTTTTATGGAGAAAGGCACTTCTCTGGAAATAGTTAAAGGGTTTTGGCATCATCAAAAAGGGGGAAATTGTAAGGAATAAATATATTTAGATTTTGATGATGCTAGGTTAATTAGAATTTGAAAGTACCCCTTTAGAAATTTTGTATTAAAATTTCTTTTGTAAGTTTTAGCTTAGTCTACATGCCAGAGATCCACCTTGCTTCTACCAGAGTTGCTCCCAGAGTTGCTCACCAGAGAAGCCATCAGAACTGGTTATCAGTGTTGGTACCAGAATTGGCAACAGAGGCGGACTTCAAAGCTTGAACCAGAGAGCCTCATCAGACTTAGCCAAACACACCAGATTCCGAAAGTACTTACAACGGCCGTGAAACTAACGGGAAATTCCCTAACAGCTAGGAGCCTTTCGACAGAACCTTGTACTTTACACGCATTTAATGTTCATTTAATGCGGTACGTACGAAGAGATATTTAAAGCTGCTGATTGACCGAGCGGGGTTCTTATCGCCCCCAAAATAGCAAGTCGAAGGACCAACCGGTCAAATCAACAGTACAAGCATTTAATGAAGTTGTCTTCTACACTCCAACGGGAAGACCGCTCCCAGTATAAAAGATACACTTCGAAGAACTACAAGATGAGATTCTTGAGAACTTTGTTAAGAAAAGCTCGCTCAACCCATCTACTGCGAACAAAATATTCAAAAAGCCTTCTTGAGATTCAAACTTCATTCCTAACAAGAAAAGGCTACAGTTGGAAGATATACTTTCACATCTTTCATTCAACTGAAAACAAACAAAGTTCCTCAGTTCTTCAACACTTCGAAAGCCTCATCTACACATCCTTTGTGAAGAAGCAACGTTGGAGAAAACTGATTTTGAATCAAACACTTCTTGAAAAAGAAGGGACGTCTCAAACTAGATGGAGTAAGTGAAGTGGGGATACTTCAAGAGACACGGTGAAACGAGACCAGCCATCAGGAAGCAGGACTGCATCCCGGGTGGCAACTAGACTTGAAGAAGACGAGGAGTGCTTCTTAAGCTCTAGGGACTGAGGCGTTGTAAACTGTTGTTTTTGCAAGCTTAGTGGAACAGTGGACTAGAGGAACACATTGTTCCTTTAACCACTATAAAAACCCCAGTGTCATTTACTTTAAGCTTTTAATTTTCGCACTTAAGGTTCTACTGTTTAACTCTTAAAGTTGGACTCTGTGTCCAGCAGATCTTCTTTCAGAGTTATCAGAAAGGCACTTTGCCTTAGTATTTTTCTTGAGGCTACCCGAACAGAAACTTATCCGCTGCCTGGTCTAGTTCTGCCATCAGAACTTGACCATCTCTGTCACCAGATTCAGACCCTCTCTGATAAGTCAATCTGACTTAGAGAAAAAGTTGAAAACCGGAACATCTATTCACCCCCCCCTCTAGACTGTTCCTAATTTAAACGGGACCAACAATGCGCGCAGTGTAAAGGCATGACGCTCCGAATCATCGGATCGTCATGAGGGGGAGAGTGGTCCACATACTGTTAACTGTCAAAAAATCATTCTGGGACACTTCTCTCCTCCAACACTCTCTCTACTATCTCCGCAACTCAAATGGTCAGCTACACTCACAATTCAACCATCATTATGTTCCGCTGTGCCACCGACAAGTTCTCGACATCTTGATCTTGAGATCTTGATCTCGAGATTTGAATCTCGAAATCTTGATTTCGAGATTTGCATCTCGACATCTTGATCTCGAGATTTGAATCTCGAAATCTTGATTTCGAGATTTGCATCTCGATATCTTGATCTCGAGATTTAATGTTAATCCCAAAACATTAACAATCATACAACCATAACAATGATAAAGAAGCAGATAGGAAGAAATCGACAAGATAAGAACCGAATCTGGTATACCGTATGAACCTGTCGCTACTCTCCCTGGAGAAGGAGAGCAGCGGCAACCCTAATTTCTCTCTATCTCGCCTCTGCGTCTCTAAGCCTCTCTCGATTAGTTTGGTTCCCGTAAGTTAGCCTCCTTTTATAGGAGAAGTTGGCTAACTTACGGGTTACAAGGAAGCCCACGGGCTGATACACATTTGTGGCCCGTATTACACGTTTAATTAATAACTACACAAATACAAAGATAACTAACTAGATTGAACACCATAAAATATTCCCAACAATCTCCCCCTTGGTGATCAATCGTGTTGAATCAGCATTGTAGTGCAAATATCTTTGTCTTTGTTGTTATTGAGCTTCCTTTGTCTTTGAACTTGACTTCTGAGGAAGGCTATCTGAAGAAATCCTTGCAATCTCCCCTTTGATGTCTTCTTGAAAATTTGATCTTTGATGCCGGGGGTTGAGGGACCTTCAGTATCTTGCATGTAGTCCTTGCCTTCCAGAAGTTGCTCTTGATCAGCTTGGATGAAGTCCGGTGACCCCTCTAGAATGATTATTCTTTGGAGAATAGGAGACGCCCATGGACTTCATCTTCAGGACATGATTATTTGACCTCTGTCTCCTCCACAATGTAGTTTTTTTGACTATTTGGAATGAATGCTTTTGAGGAGAACTTGTCGGTGGCACAGCGGAACATAATGATGGTTGAATTGTGAGTGTAGCTGACCATTTGAGTTGCGGAGATAGTAGAGAGAGTGTTGGAGGAGAAAAGTGTCCCAGAATGATTTTTTGACAGTTAACAGTATGTGGACCACTCTCCCCCTCATGACGATCCGATGATTCGGGGCGTCATGCCTTTATTCTTTTATTCTGCGGAAACAAAAACAGGAAAAACAAACAGAATCTAAAGAAGATAACGTAGCCCCCCGGGGTCGTGAAGACGCCCGTTATCATCACTATAGAGATAAACTCTTTAGCAATGGCCTGAAAATGTTGGTGATTCTTATGTTGCAACAGCAGGACTTCCTTCCCATTATTGGTCTACATCTGTAATAGATGAGCCCTATGGAAGTTCTCGCGGGTCATGTAGACCTGCAACTGACTTAAAAAGTGCGTCGGTGTCCTAGAAAATTCAAAACATTTGGGAGTGAGTAACTAGACACGACGTGATCAATGAAAGTTCAGTGGCATGGGGCTGAGGCCACTGTAGTCAGTATTACTTGCCTCGGAAGGAGACAGTAATGAGAGATGCAGTTCCCCGTGAACTATGATTAAACACATGTCTGTTGGGAGACAAGTGAGTGGTCTAGGGTAGGGTTGTGCATGCGCCGTTTGGACAAGATGCAGCGACTTCTACCCGGGATCTGAATAAATTTAGTCCTGAACCTATGGGGATAGTCCAGAGTATTTTAGTGGCTAGGAGCAAATGTTCAATTCATAGCAGGCAATTGAGGTAGCAGACTCGTCATTGATAATTGTTTTTCTTCTCACTTGAGCCTTCTGCTTCCTAATGCTCATAATGTTCACTCACTCGCTCACTCACGCGCTTACGCTCGGCTTTGTCCCTTGGGTAGGCTTAGTTGGGTTTACTAATCCATAGGAACATGTTCTCTCATTACTTTCTTCATTTTCTCTCCGTACTCCCCCTCAACTGGAGCACTCGGTATGCTTTGTCTTTGTTAGGCACCGGGGAGGATTACTTTGAACACTCCCCCTAGAATGTTGCATCCGTTAAGAGATTCATGCTTAGACAGATCCGAGTACACTCTTCACATGACCTACAAATGGCTATTGAGTGCAATCTGAAAAAGACAAATCTGACAAAGCCAAGACTGTATGGTCCAGAACTTGAAGACTTCCCAGCCTACCACATCTTCTTCACACCGCCAGCAGTCACCTATCTGAACCACAAGAACGAAAAACGTCTGATGGTAGTCAGTGAAATTGAGAAGTACTGTGACGGAACACTGAAGATAATCAAAGAACAGATTCTAAAGATGAAGGCAGAGCTAGAGGAAAATCTTCAAGAGGCATCGTCTTATGTTCAAAAGGAACACTCTACAGTAGAGACAATTTTAAAGGCCATTGATGATCGCCTCGAAAAGAGAAATACGCTGAGGCAATATGAACATGCACTTGGTATGAGGAAGCACTACTTCAAGTCTCAGAAGCAATAAGAGAATGACACTTGATCACAAGGGGGGAGATTGTTGGAGATATTTAATTGTGAATCAAGTTGGTCATAGATTAGCTTTATATTTAATCCTTGTATTTAATTAGTGCATGAATTAGATAACAATCGGGCCAAGTGTTAGGCCCATATAAACAGGCTAAAAGCCTTGTACGCCTAACCTAAACCTCGCCTATAAAAAGGGAGCCGAGGTTTAGGAATAGGTTAACGTCGTACTTATTCTTCATAGCCTTACGCGCATACTTTTGTGTTGTACGAGTTCACGGTCTATCAAAGAAGGTTTTACGTTGATTCATTCTGTGTTCATCCTCACGTTTAATCTTCGTTGTTAGATCGTTATTCATTGCTGTTACAGAAACAGGGACTAACAGAAGATATCAAACAGAGAACCAGGAGGGGTTCTGTCAGAGTAAAGGCTAACAGAGACCCTGAGGTCTTCTGTTCTTAAAGCAAAGAACCAAAGGTCCTCTATTCAACCAATGCCTTATTAAGGGTCTTCTGCTCTGGAGGCTTTCTGCTAAATAGGTCTTCTGCTCTGGAGGCTTTCTGCTAAGTCGATTAAACTAAAGAATTTTACAAAGGAAAATTCTAATACATTAAGTCTAAAGAGGGGTACTCTAATGTCCTAATCAATCTAGCATCATCAAAATCTAATTACAAATATTCCTTACAGCCCGGGAACCCCCGGTCCACAGACTCGTACTACTACAATAAAGGCCCAACAGGCCCAGAAAGCACAACAGGCCCAAATCACGGCGCCCAAGGTACCAAGCAGCCCACAATGCACACCAGAGGGTGCCTTCGGCCCCCTGGCCGAAGGCTCTGAACCTCACGGAAGGGCCAAAACAAGAAAACAAAGTTACTGGGAAGAACGGCGAAAATCAGTAGCCCTCGGCAACTGGAGCCCTCGGCACTAAGGGGGTCCCCGGTACTCAGAGCCCTCGGCTAGTCATCTACAGCCGAGGGCACCTTTCCCGACATAATATCCGCTCCACATGCGTATGGATCACCGTACCCAGTACAACGTCATATCCAACAGCCGCATTAAATGCGGCCACATGCGGTTGCCAGCGCCAACCAGCTGAGGTGACCTCTCGGCCAATGGACGCCTGACACGTGTCCCTGTCTGGCATTTATTGCTACTATAAATAGCACCCCATTTCTCCGTTGTAAACCACGCTGAGAACGCTGAATACATATCGAATATACACTCTCTCTCTTACTTATTTGCTCTGACTTCTCTCTGGTTATTCTCCGCAATAACCCCTCGGATAAGCTACCCCCGGGTACAATATCCATCAAACTGGTTGGCAATGGCAGTCGCATGTGGCCGCATTTAATGCGGCTGTTGGATGTGACGTCGTACTTGGTACGGTGATTCAGGCGCATGTGGAGAGGATATTCTGTCGAGAAAGGTGCCATCGGCTGCAGATGATTAGCCAAGGGCCCTAAGTGTCGAGGGCTACTCATTTTCGTCGTTTTCTCCCAGTAACTTTGTTTGCTTGAGTTGGCCATCCTATGAGAATTTGGAGCCTTCGGCCAGGGGGGCGAAGGCACCCCCAGTGTGCCACGTGGGTTGCTCAATACATGGGGCGCTGTGATTTGGGCCTGCCGTGCTTCCTGGGCCTATTGGGCCTCCCTTAGAATAGTAGGAGTCTATGGGCCGGGGGTTCCTGGGCCATCTACTCCATCAGGAGTCCCTCATTTCTTTTGTCGAAAGGTACTTGAGGGAAAAGGAGTAATTTGTGTTTGTCCTTTGGTGTTGTTCCGTTGTAGTTTGTAAAGTTTGTGAGTAGTTCGATGTGTACATGTTTCAGCCGAGGGCAGTCCCTCAGTTACTCACATTCCGGGACTTGAGGGATCATGCTTGTCGTTGTGGGAGTTTTTGACATTTTTTTTTGTTTTTTGAGGTTTTTCCCGAAGGGGTCCTCCAGCCCCCCTTCCTTGAGGCACTTGCAAAGTGGTGAAAAGGAGTAGAGTAGAGCCTGCCTGCAATATGAAGCCGAGGGGTGACGCTTTTCATTTCATTTTGGGGGGATGCCTCGTTAAAAACCTCATTGGAAAAAACCCTGTGGGAAAAAATTCCAATGAGGGAAAAAGAGTGCACCGAATTCCCCCAATGATGAGTCGGAAAGGTCAAACCTTGGTCTGAAATGAGTAGCAGTATTCTTGCCGGAGGTTGTCCTTGTCTGAGGGCGCGTGTATTGCTTTGCCGAAGGGGAGCTTGTTGATATTGTAACACCCCCAAATTTCCCACCCAAAACGTTGATATAATTGAAATAAAACTTTTATTTATTGATAATGAAAATTTAAAGAAAGTACAGCGGAAGGCTTAATAAGGGAAATGGGTGTTACCGCCACATCCGGTCATCTCTCAACCGGATGCACAGGCAACTAAAACATAACAACTAATTTAATAAAAATAAAGTGTTTATAAAGTAAATGTTTATTTCATGACTAGTATAACTAAGGCGACTTCTAATTCGCTCTCGGGCCATGCAAGCCGTCATCAATCGACAAAATCAATCCTCACCTGCACAAATAAAGTGCAGAAACAAACAAGGAAAAGAAAACAAAAATTAGCTTTAGAGCTAAGTAAGTACTACCCAACCCCGTAAAATAATCATGTTTGACTAAAATAGATTTTTATATAATAATATATAAAAATACTCACACCATCAAAATTCTTTTCACTTTGATTTTTATCAAGACTACTTCTTTACAACAATCCTCAACTTCTCTATAAAACTTCATAATAACTCTTCTCTTTGATTTCCTCAAAAATCACTTCTTCTCTAACTTCCTAGTAATTTAGAAGGGCGGTGCTCAACCTTTCGGTAGAGCCCGGTGGACCGTGGTTACGGACGGCCACCCCGAACAAGTGCCGGTACCACAACTGCTCTGTTGGAAACGAAACGACTACCTTAAGTGTGCACACCCCCTAAAAGGGATTCCAAGCCCTCCGAGTAGTGAGTCGTAACGAGTAGTCGGGACTCAGTCTACCAACTACCCTTGAATAAGATATTTTGAATGATTAGGGATTACTACTACCATAACTTCTTCTTAAAAGGGATCATCGATCCAAATATCACTTTAAACTCAAACTGTACTTCTTAGTAGTAGCAAACCTAATCACCCTCCACATTTATCCGGGCGTGGAAAACCGACACCTCGGATTACTCCCGAGATGCTCACTTCTTATAAAAATGTAAATTTTATCTTCGCTTAACAACACTTCAAAAATACTTCTTAATTTCTCTAAAAAGTCTTGAAGGTATTTAAAAATATTTAATACCCCAAAAGTACTTAATTTATATTTCTCAACAACCATATATATAATATATCTTCACAATTCTCATACACAAAATTCAACAATTCACACTTATTCACATAATGCATAATAAGCATATAATACGAGGAAACAATTTTAGATTGACAGAGAAACTTACCTCGAACCGCGTTAAGTCGTAACTGAATCCTTTCAATATTCACCAAAATCACCTTCTACGAATATTAAAATTCTTTAATTAATACTAATACCCAAGTATAGTTTGATTATCCAATTAGTGTTATTAACAGTATTGTTATTAACTTATTACTAATTATTGATATAAAACTTCGGATAGCCACATTGGAAGTAAGCAGCCCAATATAGCCTTATTCCATAGACAAACTTTTAATTAAATTTCCGGCCCAACAAGCTAAACGTATTACGGAGTATGAGTACGTACATGGAAGATTCATCTTCGATCTTCAGTACTCACCAGTACCCGTGACGAAGAGTAGCAGGTTGGTAACGTAGCTCCGTCTTTGGCTGCAACCGTTCAGCGGCGTTTTCCCCTCTGGTGGCGTCCCCGGCAGATATAGCGGTGGCAACGGTTCGACGGCTCATCTTCATCTTCTCCGGTGACTACACAGTCCAGCGATGCTGCGGCGATCCGGCGGTCAATGGTTATCGTCTGTTCTTCCTCTTTTCCGGTGCAGGCCTGTACGCAGATGCTCTTCAGTGAAAATCAACCGGTGTGGTGCAAACAGCAGTCCAGGAGGCTCCTATCTCCGGCGACCCCTTTGGCGTGAATAACTAACCCGATACAGCAGCTCTACAACTCCAACAATGATCCCCATCTTCATCTCTTCTGACAGGCAAAGGCGTTGATGTTGTTTCCTCCTTCCTTGTCGATATCATCCACGGTCTACTTGTCCAGTGTCGGATTAACAGGAGTTTGCCCGCAGCCCTCCTTCGTTTCCTGATGACGCAGGCTTCGAATATAGTCCCGTTTTCCTCTTGTTTGTTTCAGCAGAACGAGATGTATATATAAGCGTATATATGCGCAGGTTTCGTTTCTTCAAAGGTTTAATTTGGTGCACAGTCTTGGACGGCAGCGGCGTGTGTAAATGCTAACCGGCGACTCCACATGCACGGTCCAGCCTCCTGACGACGATAGGGTCCTCTTCTCCGACGGTTTCAGTCGGTCTTCTCCGGTGAGCCGTTGTGTTGGGCGGCGGTAACAAATCGGATTCGGTGACTCCGACTCGCGTTCTTCTCTTTTTTTTTTCTTTTCGCAATATATGTATGTATATATGAGGTACTCCATAGTCCGTATATAGTTATGTGTGCATCTGTTCTCTTCTGCGGCGGACATGAACGATGTATATATATACGACAAATACATGATTCCAGGCCTAGGGTTTCAGGAACAATAACCGTTTCGGCCATTTTCCTTTCTTTTTAATACTTGAGCATACGTAGTAGCCGTCATACGTTTAACTTAGTACGCATCTCTTTGCCATTTACAAATGCTTCGCGTGTTGGCCGGCCGTTTTAGTTGCTCGTTACTATACTAGCCATCTTAATTATGCATAAATTCATGCATGTACGTTAGTACGTTACTCGTACGTATTAGGTATGTATGTATGTAATACATGTATGTATGATATGAATGTAATATGTATGTTAATATTTTTATGTTTACGTAGTATGATATATGTATGTGAGTGATGTGCATGTTTCTATAAATGTGAATAAGTATATGTATGTATGCGTACTTAGGAGTATTATAAATTTTAAAAAGCCAACCCTTGTATAGATGTTTAAATATTATTATTGAATAATATTTTTCTTGGAGTAATCTTTGTTAAAATGTTACTTTTGATATTTGACATATGTGTAACGATTGTTGTTACAAAAATTGTCACTTTCATAATTATCATAAAAATGTTACTTCCATCAATGAAGTATTTTTATTTGACTAAAACGTCATAAATTTTGAAGTTTTTGTCTCATCCCTTGATTATTAAAATCTTATTTTTGTAATATTCTATCTCACTCATAAAATTATTTTGAATTTTTGGAGTGTCACAGATATCCTAGGAGATGCCGAAGGGGAGCCCTCAGTTCGTTGGAATGAGGGTGTGGTGACTGTAGGTGATATTTCCTGTGTTGTCGAGGGGTCCCTGTATGTTGATAAGTTGAGGGCCGCGGTACCCCGAGGGGTTTCCTTGTTGCGTAGCCGGGGGTAACTGTTGATGATGGTGTGCTCCCAGGGGGTTACGTGGTCCTCAATGTGTTTGATGGTTGAGTGTTCCCGAGGGGTCTGCCCGTTGTGAAGCTGTGGGCCTCTGAAGGAGTGAGCCCGAAGGCATTTGTGATGTAGTATGAGGGGCACAAGCCGAGAGCACCTCTGGGTAAGTGTACCCGGGAGCTCCTCTTGATGAAGTGGAGTGAAGGAGAAAGCTCGGGGGCTAGTTTTTTGTTTGATGAAGGAGTGGTCTGCCGAGGGCGCGGTCTTGGTTCCCAGAATATAGCCGTTGTAATAGAGCCGTTGGAATATGTAACGCCGGAGATATAGCCGTTGGAGGGGGGCCTCCACGTGGCGTTCGTTCATTGGCTGCTTGTGGGCGGGCATCACCGATTGGGCAATTCGACGGTTCGTAATGATGGCTTTTCAACCGGAGGCCCGGTTTCCGGCCCAAGCCCAGATTTGCGGTGCCTATAAATACCCAAGGCCAAAGGACTTCTTCCCTGTGCGATCATTGTTGTTAGCGAAGCTCTGGCCATTTGATTTCTAGAGAGAGAAACACCTGCCCTCGATCCAATTCTTGTTCCAAGGTCAGTTCCCCACTCGTTCTTCACCTTCTTAGTTAGCTGTTCTTTGTGGCCTTAGATTAGGGGTTGTAGCTTAGAGCCTTTAGTACCTCCCTCCGAACCCTCGGTTTAGTTTAAACAATGTCTTCACAAAGCGATTCCCAAGACATCTCGAGGGAGCTCTCGATGGAGGAGGAGAGCTTCTCAGACGTGGAGTCCACGAGCGAGCAACCCTCGGCCGAGGAGGATGCCGCACTGGCCATATTGGTACAGAAGGACCTTGTGGCTGAAGTCGAAGTTGAGGACTTCGAGCAGGTGATCGAAGACGAGGAGATGGCCCTCGTCGTTCAAGTTGCAGAGGAGGAGGAGCACAAGGAGAGTATGAAGGTCACCATCTCCGTGCCCCCCCCCCCCCCCTCGTGGTGCTGGTGAAGCAGGGAGCTCTCGGCCTCTTAACCCGACACCTCTAAGGGTGGCCCCCGGGAACAAGAAGGAGAAGACGAAGGCTGCTCCCAAGAAGAAGGGCAGGGCTGCTGATCAAGGAAGGCCCATTGATATGCCCGAGGGGTACTCTTGGTTGAATACCGCTGCCCTCGAGATAGGATCGAAGGCTGACAGGGAAGATCTTTTCGTCACTCAGTTGCATGTGGGGCCTTCGGCCGTAGTGGTGGCACCGGGTCCTGATGATGTGCTCTCCCGGGCTCCCGAGGGTTGCATCGCCGTCCACATTATGTCTGTATCAATGGGTCTCCGGTTCCCCCTGCATCCATTCCGTCGGGAATACCTTAGGTACGTGGGTTTGGTCCCTTGCCAATTGACGCCCAATAGCCACTCATACGTGGCGGGCTTTCTGAACCTTTGCCGGTCCCGAGGGGTGACCCCCATCCTGGATTTGTTCTTCCAGAGTTTCAACCTCTGCCGGGGGGTCACGCGAATGCCGAGGGCTTCGCGAACCTGCAGCAGATAGCCAGGTGGAAGCTGTTTACCGAGACGCCTTCATCAAATAAAGGGTGGAAGGAGCGATTGTGTTACGTCAGAGTGGACGAGAGCCCCTTCCCGAGGGAGCTCCGGGATCGTTTCCAACGGCATCCGAAGGTCGGAAATGCTGCTCTCGAGGAGGATGGTTTGATCATAGCCAAGATCCTGGAGGGTCGCACGAAGAATGTGTCTATCAAAGATTACACCCTCGATAAAGATCTTTACGCCCTCGGCTTCCGTAGATTTCACTTCCTTGGTGAGACGGACGAGAATTACCCTGAGTTGGACAAAGCCTTCGAGGGAGCAGGAGGTAGTAGCCGAGGGCTTCCCAATTTGTACTTAGGATTTTTTCCTTCTTTTTTTTCTTTGTTTGTTCACGCTTTTTACCCCCCGGTCTAACTGTTTTTTGTCATTTGCAGGCGCGAACATAGACGCTAGGAAACTTTTTTCTCTGAAGAAGAAAAATGGCAAGGCCCAAGCTCAGAAGAAGGACCCTTCGTCCCAACAGCCCGTTGAGGCCTTTTTCCAGAAGGAGACACCGGAGCCCTCCGCTGCGGCTACCGTTGCTGGTGTGGCTGAGGGGGCCTCAAAGAAGAAGAAAGGCAGTAAGGCGGTAGAGCCCCCTGCTAAGAAGCAGAGGGGTCCCGGGGATGTTGCTGACCAGGCGGCCCCCTTGGTGATCATAGAGGATCGCCCCTCTCCCGAGCCCCCGGTTGGCACTGCGGCGACAGCTCGGACTGACCTTCCCCCGGGAGGCTTCCCCCGGGAGATTTTGCAACTCTCCCTGGCTCCGGGGGCTTCCGTGATGCACGGCTCGGCAGAACCGAAGGCCTTCCTGAGGGGGATCACTTCGGTGATGGACAAGGCGGTCCTCTCGACTTATGACGACGAGGCCCTCGAGAGCAAGATCTTCCGCTCTTCACTAACTGTAAGTTTTCTCCCTTGTACTTGTGTTAACTTTTAATACATTTCCAACATTTGTCTAACTCCTCTGCTTGTTGTTTAACAGGCTTGCATAGCCCTCGGGGAGCATGCACAAAGGCTCGAGCAGTGGCGCCTCCAGAAGGCGGAGCAGGATCGAAAGATGAAGGAGCTCGTCCTCAAGAACTCCGATGCTGTGAAGCAGATGGCTCTGCTGGAGGAGGACCTCCGGAAGGCCACCGAGGGGGCTGAACAGAGGAATAAGGCTGCCGTGGAGGAGGCCAGACTCAAAGCCGAGAGGGTTGCCGCCGAGGCCTCCAAGAAAGCTGCTGAGGAGGCAGAGTCCGCCAAGGCCGAAGCCATCGCCAATGCCCGAGAGGATGTTGTCGCTGCGTTCATGGCCGAGGGCTGGAAGACCGAGGAGCGGCAGCAGTGGGTGGCCTCGGTTGTCGAGTCTTCGGTAGATAGCTGGGTGAAGGGCCCCAGGGCCGACTGGATGGCGGAAAGGGGCGACAGCTACTATCAAGGGGGTGAATTCTTCACCCAGCATCTGGTGTACCGGAGGCTTGCTAGGCATTTCAACGTCTGCCTCGAGGAATTTGACCCCTCGGCGTATGGCCTTCTCCTCTGCAACCGGATGTAAGAAACCCCCTCCCCCAGGAGAAGAGAGGTCGGTGATCCATGACTCCATGATGATGGGGGGATCCGGCGATGGTGATGCCGATGTTGCTGCCGGGGAAGAGGTCACCTCGAAGCCTGCTGAGGAAGCAAAGGCTGAGTGAAATTGTACTTAGTAATTTTTAAAAGAACAGGCTTTGTAATGAACATTTGTTTGCTTCCGGCCTCGGCCATCCTGTAATAGACATTTCAACTTTTCCTTCCTCTTGATGAATGAATGTCTGCCTTCGGGCTTTTGTACATAATTCGTTTTCCTTTGAATGTGTGCTTTCGTTTTTCTTTGAATGTATGTCCTCGTTTTACTTTGAATGTATGCCCTTGTTTTTCTTTGAATGAATGCCTTCTAATACGCCTCGTGAATAAATGCCCTCGTACCTTGATGCTTAGATTGTCAATTGTTAGGGACTTAGAAAAAATTTCTTACTGTTGTCCTCCCACCAGGCCTTCGGTTGTGTGGCCCCTCGGGCTGCATGGGTGCTTGACCGAGGGCGAAATATTTAGGACTTAGAAATTTTTTCCAAGTGTAGTTTCCCCCAGCCTTCGACCGTGTGGCCCCTCTGGCTGCATGGAGATTTGACCGAGGGTCGAAAATATTTAGGACTTAGAAAATTTTTCCAAGTGTAGTTGTATGGGATAGGAGCCTTCGGGTGAATGTGAGAGCCTTGTCGTAGGTGTGCCTTCGGTTGACCGGTGACTCAACAGGGGGCAAAGTATTTAGGACTTAGAAAATTTTTCTAAGTGTTTGAATATCATCTGGCCTTCGGTATGTGGGCATTTCTTGCTGCATGAAGTGGGGTGACCCTCGTTGCAATGTGAGTTTGCCGAGGGCCACACGCTTTATGACTTAGAAGTTTTTTCTAAGTATTTCCTGTTGCTGGCCTTCGGTGCAGGGACCCTTCGGCTGCCTACTCTGTGGGCCTAGAACAATTTCCTTTGTCTCGCAAGGTTGGCCTGTGGCAACAAAAGCCTTCGGCTGTTGTCATGTCTCCACAGTGTTGACTTAGGAAATTTTGTAGTTCAAATGCAGCATAAAAAGACAGGCTCCCTCGGACAATGCCTGGGTGTATCCCCCCAGCGTCTAGTGAGGTGCCGGAGGTGAATCTCGCTTGGATATGGCCAACATATGATAGCATTTGTTGTATAGTAGCCTTTAGGGACGTTTCTGAATTGTTGTTGAGTGAGCCTATCACGTTCTGTAGGATTTGAGCCTTCGGTTTTGATGTAGCCGGAGGCAATCAAAAAGTGGACTTAGCCATTTGTTGATGATGTTTGTTGAATAGTATCTTTGGTAATTAGGAGCTTCCTGGTACCGAAGGTGTTCCCGTGGGGAGCCCTCGGTATGTTCCCGTGAATTGTTGGAGTGGTGTACTCATTGATTTCTCGCTGAGTCTACTCACCTTCACTCCCTCGTTTTTTTTTTGTGGTGAAGGGAAGGCTTCAAGAAACTTGGTTTCTTGGTAAGCCTTGGCCTATCGGGAGGTAATAGAATACACCATTAGCTCCCCCCTCGGGTTAACCTTCCGAGTTCCGAGGGGATCGAGGGTCGTTTCCTGGGCTCAAGACATGGTCTGTAGCCTGCCTCCCCTTGGGAGATGGCACGGAAAGCGCCTCAGTTTTGAAAGTCGTCCCCTCGGCGCCAGACATAGTCTGTGGCCTGCCATACCCTTGGGGTAGTGGTGCGGGGAGCGTTTCGATTTGGAAGTCGAATCCTGGGCATATTAGATGCCTGCCGATCCCTGGGGGAAATGGCGCGGAAAACGTTCCGTTTTTGAAAGTCGAATCCTGGGCATATTACTTCCCTATCATACCCTTGGGGTAGTGAAGCGGAAAGCGTTTCAGGGAAGGGTTTTCATTTGCACACTGGTTGCAAATGGCCGGGGGCACTACGTGCTACCGGCACCGATAGGTGGCGCCTTTGGTATATGCGTCCTCGAGGGGTACGACTTTAGAAACAACACTCGGTGTTTGTTCCGGTATACAGCCCTCGGCACTTGGTACCGAGGGGTCTTCTGTAAACATTTGGTGTTTTTCTTCATTTGACGTAGCTGATTGGGGTGTCTACCCTCGGCACTTGGTACCGAAGGGTCTTCAAAGGAAACACTTGGTGTTTTCTTCCGTTTGTTGAAAGTTGATAATAGTGTATGCCCCCGGCACTTGGTGCTGAGGGCTCTTCCTTTTGATAAGGCCTTGGGCCAGGGACTGATATGCGGGCTTGGCCGCTCATAAGAGTCTCGTTCCATGTTCTTGGTGTCTTCAATATGTCTTCATTCTTCAAAAATTGGAGGCCTTGGGTCGTTAAATAATACATTCACTAGTCATGAGGGCTTGGCCGCTCTAATGTTATTGATAAAATTTAACTAAGTGATATACATTCCAGTGTCTAGGGACCTCGGTCCCATTAGGGCCTTTGAGTTTGTAAGTTCCAAGCTTGATGATAGTTGTCACTATGTAAGGGCCCTCAAATTTGGGCACCATTTTGCCTCCCTCGGTTGGTTGGCTAGCTTCCCTCCTTCGTAGGACATAGTCCCCCACTTGGAATTCCCGGGAGCGGACTTTGGCGTCAATGTAACTCTTTACTTGCCTTCGATAGTTTTCCGCGCGTATGAAGGCCTGCTCTCGGCGTTCTGAAATAAGGTGAAGGTCGAGGGCCATATTGGCATCGTTGACCTCGGGATCATATTGTGTGACCCTTCGGGTCGGAAGAGTTACCTCAGTGGGGGCCTTAGCTTCAATTCTGTAGCAAAAGGAGAAGGGTGTCTCGCCCGTTGCTCGCCGAGGGGTGGTGCGGTAGGCCCATAAGATGTTGTGGAGCTCTTCTACCCAACCACCCCCTTCGGCCTCCAGTTTCTTCTTTAGGCCCTCGAGCAAGGTCCTGTTGGCGTTTTCCAGTTGACCGTTGCCTTGAGGGTAGGCAACGGATGAGAAGGTGTGTTTGATGCCCCATGCCTCTAGGAGGGCACAGAAGGGGGCTGCCTCAAACTGAGTCTCGTTGTTGGAGATGATTTGTTGGGGGACGCCAAACCTTGTGAGGATGTTCTTGAGAACAAAATGGCGGCACCTAGCCTCGGTGATGCTGGCGAGGGGCTCAGCTTCCACCCATTTGGTGAAATAGTCGATGGCGACAATGATGTACCTGTTGATGGAGGTACCCCTCGGCAGAGGGCCCACAAGGTCTATACCCTATCGAGCGAAGGGTATGGATGTGCTGATGGGGGCATAGTTGACCGTTGGCCTGCCGGGGGCTTTCTGGAAGTGTTGGCATGCGGTACACCTTCGGGCGAGATCCACACAATCCCGGGCCATTGTAGGCCAAAAGTAGCCCTGGATCATGAGCCTTCGGGCCATGGAGTAGGGTCCCTGGTGAGCTGAACAAGTGCCGTTGTGTGATCGGGCTAAACTTGCAAGTGTACAAGTGCCGATATAGTAATAAATTCCGGTAAAATACCGGGTCGAATCCACAAGGAAACGTTGTTTAAATCAAGTCCGAGAGTAGATAACTTTAAATGAAGAATTGAATAAAGAGCAGGGATTTTGATTTATGTTTTATGTTTTTGGTTTTCACTTTTTTCTTAAGAAGATAATCGTTAACTAATTTTAAGTTTAAGATGAATGATAACAACAACTAAGGCTTCGGGAATCACTTAAATGCTTTAATAGGGTTGAATATTAGTTCTTTGCCAATAATTATGAATACGATGTCGCTAATATATTCTGATCTCCGGTTAAGGCAGCGAGAGCGTGGTTTTCGTTACGTGTAAGTCCCGTTACGGCTTACATTCATCTACCGAAAACCCCGTTGAATATCAAGACATCACACCCGTATCATATAAGACCGGATATATTTCTATTCTCGGTACTATATATGTTTATCCTTTAATGTTCATAGTTTAGACCTCAACGTTAATTGCAAGTATAAACTAAATTTAACATACTTCTATGTTGTACACCATAGTCATAAACAATCAATATATAAAGGATAAATCACAATTTATTGGTTTAGAACTTTTATCAAACACCTAGTTGGCATAGAAGTTCATCCCTAGCCTTAGCTAAGAAATTAGCCTCTAATGCTCATATTAATCACAATACAATAATAAATGTAATGGAACATGAAATTACAAACGAAATAATACCTAAACACCAATGATTTCGGAGGATGAACTTCCCTCCTCAAGAACTTGAAGAAAATACCAAGAACAAAAATATAAAAGCTAAGAATTAATCTATGGAATGGAATGAATTTGTATGATGAATTGAGGGCTTTATATAGGGTAAAGAATGTCATCTTTTAGTCTATTCAAGCCCAACAAACAGGTGTGGAGGAGATATCTGATCAAATATGAAGAAGATGAAGTTTCCCATCAAGAAATCTTTTGCATGTAGCTGTGTTTGTAGCAGAAATCGGAACAACCGGCGCCGGTTATGGGGTGTCCGGCGCCGGTCGTGTGCAAAAATGCACCGGTCGCTCCGCGCCGGTTGGAAAAAGGCCGCTTTTGGGAAAAAAAACCAAACGACTGGCGCCGGTTCCTGCGCCCAAATTTGTACTTAGCTTCTTTTTCTCTTTTGATGCCCGAAATTTATCCAGAAGTGCCAGTTTTCGACCCCTTTTGGCTTTTGACCCTATTTTTGCTGTTCCAAGCCGCATTGCATGTTTCCGCTCATTCGGGAATATTTACCTGTTTTTGCTTTAATTCTTGTACAGATAATTATAATCACTTATGTAAAACATAAGTAATTATTGTGCTTATCACTGTGCACTTCCTCCATTGCAACTTTGGCTTCATCTTGATGAAGGCACCGAAGTAATGTCCCGTTGTACGATCTTTTATAAAGCCTTCCGTCTTCGATAGCGTAGCTGGGAGCCCTCAGCTTTGCTAGCTTGGCACGGGCTTCATCCTTGGGCAGTTGCCCCGTGGTGATGAAGGCGACAATGTCTGAAACCCAGTCCTCTTGCCTTTGTTGTATGTGCATGACGGGGCTAGCATGTATGCTGGAGAGGCTGAGCTCCTCGATTTTGGCGATTTTTGAGATATGTTCAGGGGAGTCGGCCGAGAGCTTCGATAAAATGTCGGCCTCAGAGTTTTGAGCCCTCGGTATTTGAGTGAAGGAGTGTGCCTCAAATACCTTAAGCAACTCCTTGGCCGCTTCTTTGTACTGCTTCATTCTCCCTTCCTTGGCTTCGTACTCCCCGGAAATTTGGCCGACAACTAACTTGGAGTCGCACTTGAGGTGGATCTGTCGGGCCTTCATGTTAGCTGCCAGCCGAAGACCACAGAGGAGGGCCTCGTATTCGGCTTCATTGTTGGAGACTTTGAAGGAGAAGCGGACAACGTAATAGGCCCGGAAGCCTTCGGGTGAGATGAGAACCACCCCTCCTCCACATGCTTTGACAACGGAGGAGCCGTCGGTGTAGAGGGTCCACCAATCGTCCGAGGGGGCCGAGGGCTCCTCATCCGTGGCTGATCTTGTCGTGCACTCCGTCACGAAATCCGCTAGGGCTTGGCCCTTGATGGCGGGCCTAGGACATATGTCGATGTTGTATTGGCTCAGGAAGACAGACCATTTTACCATACGGGAGGAGCTGGTAGGGCTCGTCATCAGAGCGCCGAGGGGTTGTTGAGTGAGGACCTGGACCGGGTGAGCTTGGAACTTGGAAGTAATGGTCCAACTTCTTGACAGTCCAAACGATAGCCAATACCGTTTTCTCCACAGGGGAATATCGGAGTTCTGCTTCCCTGAGGGTCTTGCTAACATAGAAGATGGCATGTTGGATGCCATCCTCTTCCCGGATGAGTACTGAGTTGATGGCTGTCGGGCTGACACCCAGGTAAAGGTATAGGGTCTCCCCCACCTTGGGTTTAGAGAGCACAGGGGGTGAAGATAAGTACTGTTTCAGTTCCTCGAAGGCCCCCTGACACTCTGAAGTCCACTGGAAACCGGCGGTCTTTCTCATGATCTGGAAGAAGGGTAAGGACTTCTCCGCCGATTTTGATAGGAAGTGATTGAGGGCTGCCAGGCGGCCCGTCAACCGTTGGACCTCCTTCACGTTGCGTGGGGGTTCCATGTTGATGATGGCCTGGATCTTCTCGGGGTTGGCCTCGATACCCCTTCGGCTCACCATGTAGCCTAAGAATTTGCCCCTTTGTACGCCGAAGGTGCACTTCTTCGGGTTCAGCCGAAGGTTGAACTTCTGCATGATGGCGAAGATTTCCCTTAGGTCGCCAGCATGGCTTGCTGATTGCTTGCTTTTGACGATCATGTCGTCAACATACGCCTCCATGGTACGCCCTAGGACAGCTTGAAAGACCCTGGCCACCATCCGGGTGTAGGTGGCAGCTGAGTTCTTTAGGCCGAAGGCCATGACAAGGTAGCAGAAGATGCCTTCGGGAGTCATGAAGGCTGTTTTTTCAGCATCTTCCTCATGCATAAAGATTTGATGATACCCGCGGAATGCGTCGAGGAATGACATGATTTCACACCCCGCGGTCTCATCTACAAGTTGATCAATATTCGGCAAAGGAAAGGGGTCCATGGGACACGCCTTGTTGAGATCTGTGTAGTCCACGCACATGCGGAATGAGGGCGGTTTTTATGCGAGGACTACGTTCGCCAGGCATGAGGGGTATTTTACCTCCTTGATGTGTTTGATAGAGATGAGCATGGCAACCTCCTTCTTCACAAATTCCCTCCTCTCGGGCGAGAGGGGTCTCCTCCATTGTTGTACTGGTTTAGCCGAAGGGTCCACCGAGAGGCGGTGGGTGATGACCATTCGGCTGATCCCCAGCATGTCCTCCGGACCCCATGCAAAAACAATGGAATAGGCACGGAGGGCGCTGATGATGTCGGTCTTCAAGTCTTTGGGGAGCTGGGCTCCAATCTTCACAACTCTCTCCGGTTTGGCCGGATCGAGCGCAAAGTCTTCTACGTCCTTGGCCGGTTCAGCCCTCGGCCTCTTCTCCTCCTCTTTAATAGCCCCGGTGATGGTGTTAATACGGAACTCGATTTTGCTAACCTTCTTTGTCACCTGGAGATAGCAAGTGCGGGCAAGTTTCTGATTTTCCCTTGAGTAGCCAATACCCCCTTTGGCTGGGAACTTGAGGCAGAGGTGCCTCATGGAGATGATGGCTTCGAGATCCTTGAGGGCTAGCCGGCCGAGGATGATGTTGTGGGCGCAATCAATGTTGACGACGACGAACTCCACTTCGAGCTTGGCTCTTTGGAGCCCGTCGCCGAATAGTACCGGGAGGGTTATGACCCCCTCGGAATCGATGGTATCACCGGTGAAACCGGTAAGAGGGGTCTTGATGGGCCGAAGGGGCCCCCTTTCCAGGTGCAGCTCTCTGAAGGTGTTGAGATACATTACATTGACAGAACTGCCCGTGTCTACGTAAGTTCTGTGGATGATAGTGTCGTTGATCTCCGTGCGGATGACGAGGGCATCCCTGTGCGGAGAGGACATCGGGGGGAGGTCGGCGTTAGTGATGGTGATGGGTTCCTCCCTCAGCCGCTTTACCAGGGGCATATGAGTGACTTCCCCCACGTATTTCGTTGACTGGTAGAGTCGCCCCCGGTATTGCCCCAGTGATCATGAGGATGTGGCGCTTCTTTTCTTGGTACCGAGGGTATTCTTCCTCCTCATCTTCCAGGTTCCCAATATCCCTCTTCTTGCTGAGGGGGATGGTGTTGGGGTTGACCCACGCGTTTGCTTTCGCAGGGTGCCCTCGAGGTGGCCCTTGGTAAGGGGGACCCTGCTGCTGAGGGCCTTGGACAAATTGGGACAGATGGCCCGCCTGTATTAACCTCTCGATGGTTGTCTTCAGCTGATGGCAGTCATCGGTTTTGTGCCCCTGATGCCGATGGAAGCGACAGTAGGGGTAGTTCGGATTGATGGCATATACCTCCGGGGGTGCGTGAGAATCTCGCTCCACTAAGCCCGTCTCCTCAGCGAAGTCGACGATGACGCTGACGGGGTGCGTCAAAGGTGTCTGAGGGTGCTCCAGGAGAATAGGTTGTGCCCAAGCCCTCTGGGTCCCCTTGTAACCTCCCCCGGGCTTGGCTTGGCCGTGCCGGGGGCGGTCACCGGGGGGTGCCGAATCCTTGGGTTGACTACGGGGAGCCCCCGACCCCCGTTTGCCTTTGTCGTCTGGCCGAGGGCGTTGCTGATCGGGGTTGTGATGGCATTTTTCCACCTCCTCAGCTTCGGCGTACCTGTCCCCCGCTGTAGGGCCCTTATATAATCGCGGGGGGGGTTCGATGATGAGGCTCCTTGAGAAGTTTCCGGGGCGGAGTACTGTTTGGAGGGGGGCCAGGAGGGTCCCGTCATCTGCGCCATCAAATTTATCAGCCTCCGTTCTCCAGCGCTCCAAGAAGCCCCGAAGGGTCTCCTCTTTCCTTTGCCTCACTGTCAGCAAGTGGGAGAACTGTTTTCGTGTGCGGCGCCTTCCCGCAAATTGTGTCAAGAATCACTGGGCGAGTTCTTGCCATGAGTCGATGCAGCCTTCGGGCAATCGATTGAACCATTCGTAAGTCGGCCCCTCTAAGGTGGAGAGGAACCAACGGCACAAATATTCATTCGATGCCCCTACCATCATCATACTGTTTTGGTACCTGCTGTAGTGCTCCTGGGGGTCAGTTTTCCCGTCGTAAGGCTTGATGAGTTGCCCTCGGTATTTTTCCGGGATCCGGGCCGCCAATACCTTTGGGGTAAATGGCGTCCGGGTCCGGAGTTGTATGGTGGGTTCCCCGGAGCCCTCGGTTATCTTCTTCTGCATTTCCTCCATCTTGGCCAACATGGCATCATACTTTAGGTCTGCATGGGGGGCAGAAGTGGTGGCGTGTGCTTTGGTGGCCTCCATCTCGTCAAGTCGGCGCTGGAGGGCCGCAATGATCTCGTCCCAGGGGTCCTTCGGGAGGGCCTCCGCCCCCTGCGAACGGACACGGGCCGAGTGGGCCTGGTTGATTTGGTGACGGGCGTCGTCGGCATGGAGAGGTGCCTTGCCATTGTCCTGAGGGGGACATCTTTCATTAGCCCTGGAGACGGATCCGCCACTTTCCTGAGGCCTCTGGAGCACCTTCCCCCCGAGGTGGTCTTGGACCTCTCGGCGGTCTAGCGCCCCTCCGAGTCTCTTGAGGGCGGAGGTCCAGGGATGTTCCTTGTTCATGTTGTGGCGGTCCCGGGATTGGACTTCCTGGGAGGCCGTATCTTGGGCCACGACCCCCTCGACGTTCCCAATCCGGAGGACAGGGTTCCCGAGGGGGTGTGGATGAGGGGGAGGCATGATATTCTCCCCGACCTGAGGTTGGAGGGGAACCAAAGTGCCGAAGGCACCCGGATTCTGGGTGAGCGTCTGGATGAAGGCGGAAAACGCCGACTGTATGCTGATAGTGATGACCGGAGGGCTAACTTGGTTCTCGCTCCGGTCCTTCTTCTTGGCCTCGATGCCGAGGCGGGCATCGGGGGCATTCTGTTGAATCTGATGGCGTAGGTCGACAGCCGTCTGGTCCAACCCGGTGATGACGCCGCCCCCGGGAGCCCTGTTAGAGGCTTCTGGGACGTCGACTTCGCCGAAGGCCAGGTTCATGTCCTCAACGTTCTTGGAATTGGCACGAGTTGTCCTCACCATTTTTGCTAGGTGTTTTGTGTTTGGAGAGGGGGAGGGTTTCTTACTTGATTATTCGACCTCTCAACGAGAGCACCAAATGATAGGTAGTCTACCCGGGGGTATGTATCCGAAGGGTTACTGCGGGAAGTAACTAGAGAGAAGTCAGAGCAAAAGTAAGAGAGAGAGAGAGTGTATTGCTGAGAATGTAATGTGCGAATATTGCTTGGATTACAAATGGGGAAAAGGGGCGCTATTTATCGTAGTAATAAATGCCAGATAGGGACACGTGTCAAGCATCCAGTGGCCGAGGGGTCACATCAACTGGTTGGCATTGGTAGTCGCATGTGGCCGCATTTAATGCGGCTGTTGGATGTGACGTCGTACTTGGTACGGTGATTCAGGCGCATGTGGGCTACTCATTTTCGTCGTTTTCTCCCAGTAACTTTGTTTGCTTGAGTTGGCCATCCTGTGAGGATTTGGAGCCTTCGGCCAGGGGGCTGAAGGCACCCCCAGTGTGCCGCGTGGGTTGCTCAATACATGGGGCGCTATGATTTGGGCCTGCCGTGCTTCCTGGGCTTATTGGGCCTCCCTTAGAATAGTAGGAGTCAATGGGACGGGGGATCCTGGGCCATATACTCCTTCATGTGTATTATTTGATTTTGGCACAATATTTAATAAATTGGTTGATAAGGTAAAAGTTGTGGTTGGGATTTGAGTATAATAATGTGAAATATTGTGAACAACATCTTTCTTTCCAAAAAGGGAAATGTGACACTTATTTTGGGACAATCCAAAAAGGAAAATAAGACATGTAAACTGAGACGGAGAAAGTACGTTTTTGCATTCGCCCTGTACAGAGGATCTATATTTCCTTGACGAGTCTGAATGTTAGCGAAGTAGCAAGAACGTATCTCAGTGCGGATAGTGTGTGTAAAGTAGACTCCACGACCGATCTTATGACATAATTTCATACACCTGAATTCCTAAATAGCATAAAATTATCAGGAGTGCCCAAAATCACGTGTCTAGCTCGCTCCCTGATCCGATTTCTTTAACAAAGATTTTTTGGTGTAGTTAGGGACAATGTACTAATATTGTGCACTTTCCAAATATAACTGGACTGGTGGGAAACAAAGAGTGAGTGCAAAGGAGTTTTTGGTACTGGATGGTTCACTCACTCTTTACTATGAATATAATGTCATTGTCACTTGATGTAAAAATTGAACATAAGCTATATGACTAAAGTTACTATCGTAGTCACTATACTTAAGAGGTCACATTTTCGTAAATAATTTTTATTTTAGTCGTAATTATTTCAACAACAAAAAATGCATGAATACCTAAATGTGTCCTCTGCAATGGTAGATGACCTATTTGAATATTTTCGCATAAATTTATATTTAAGCATAGTTTAAGAATGACATAACATATTTTCACATATTTGCACCCCCTGATTTGCATGTTTACATAGGCAATTCGTCTAACAAATGCAATTCGTATAGATGTAAAGTCACCCTATTACTTAGTCATTATAAATAATTTACCTTCAACGTAACTAAACTATATAAACCATTGAATATGGAAAAATTCTTAGCTAAATTTTACTGGAGATAAGGAATTTAAAAGGGGTTAGTGCGAGACAATTCAAAAGTTGTTAATTTTCCAGCATTCCTTAACACATTCAATTATTAGGTTGCCTCTCAATATATTTTGGATGTGATGATACCCAAACATGGCTTATTATGTCATGACTATAAATAAAAGTCAAAAATAATTTTATCGTGTTTTTCGTTTATTCGTTTATTATTGAGAACCCCTCTTCTTAGTCATGGTCAACTTTATGTGGTTATCAACTATATGTGGTTATGTGAAGACTAAAGAGTAATAATTAGTAAATCATAATGTATATGTTTCATTTCAAGTCAAATTTTGTCATTGTACAAATTAAATTCATAATGAATTAATGAAAATTACAAGTTTATTTTTTTATTTTTATTTTAACTAAAATTAATTACAAGGGTCAAATTTCACCAACCGTGCATCGCACAAGTGTTAAAAATACAAGATTATTTTTGTATTTCAAATTTAACTAAAGTTAATTACAACGGTTAAATTTCACCAACCATGTATTGTACGAGTGTTTTGCTGAGTGAACAGGTCAAGGTAGCTAGATTGAGTGTGTTTTGAGAATAAATGTGTATAAATGTAGTGTCATTTAATTATATATATATAATTAAATGATAATTTATAATGATTTAACTAAAAGAAAGGATTTTAACAAGTATTAGTATGGGACAAAAGGTGTTAATTCTTATAAATTCATTTATCATCTTTAGATGTTATCTTGCTATTCCAATGTTAATGTGATAATACCCAAACATGACTTATTAAGTCATGACTATAAACAAAAGTCAAATGCATTCGTCCTGTGTTATGGAAAACATTTTTTTAGCCATGATTGACTTTACATGATTGTACGTGTCAACAGTAACTACAATAGGCACTACACTTAGGAGGTCACGCGTTCATAAACAGTTTTATTTTAGCCATAATTATGTAAATATTTTAAAAAATTATATGCAAAAATACCAAAGTTTGTCCTCTACAATAGCAGAAAGAACTATTTGAACATCTTTCCATGTTTTAATATTTAAGTATAATTTAAGAAGGAAAAATTGACAAGAATAATCCCACCTTTCACTGGTCTTCTCATAATAATCCCACCTTTGCACCTCATCTTCTTTCATTGGACCCTGACCATGTTTTTTTACTTTCTTTAAAAATTATATAAATAATCTCACCTTTCAATTTTTAATTATATCCTTATAAATGTGAGATTATTTATATAAGATTTTTAAAAAAGGTAAAAAAAACTTGGTCAGCGTCTAATGAAAGAAGATGATGTGTAAAGGTGGGATTATTTTGGGATTATTTAAAGGTGAGATTATTATGAGAAGACCAGTGAAATGTGGGATTATTCTTGTCAATTTTTCCATTTAAGAATGACATAGCACACTTTCACATACTTGCACCCCCTGATTTGCAAGTTTACATAGGCAATTCGTCTAAAATTGCAATTCGTATAAACATGACTTAGTCATTATAAATAACTTTCAATTAGTTAATATACATAATCCATGGAAATGGAAAAAATATTTTCCCAAAATTGCTTGTGCATCGCGCGGGTGGATTACTAAGTAACCATTTTATTAGAGGGAGGATTTAATAGGGATTAGTGCGGGACATAAGGTGTTAGCTTGCCATTCTAATTCCGGATGCAATAATTCCCAAACATAACTTATAACGTCATGGCTACACATAATGGTCAAAGACAATCATTTTTGCGTGTTGGTTTGTTGTTGAAAAACCAATTTTTTGTCATGGTCAATTATACATGATTGTGTCAAGAGTAACCAATCACTAAATGTTGAGAAATCAAACTGCAAACGATAACAGAGGAACGAATTGTTCATAAAATTTAGCATGGAACATAACCATTAGTAAATCATATTGAATATGTTTCATTTTACTGCAAATTTGAATATTGTGCAGAGTATAATTCTAAACGATTCAATTAAAATTACAAATTTGTATAATTATGTACACATTTTAGGTAAAAAAAAATCATCGGTCGTGCATCGCACGGGTGTTCTACTAGTGAAATAAATTAGAAAAATACACCTTTAATGATGAAACGAATATGTGATCATTGATATTGCAATTCCAAATGGTAATCGTAATTAAAATCCCAATTTTTCTTGCATGGATGTTTAAAATTAGATTAAAAAAGGTTCAATCTGTTATACAAAGATTTTTAAACAATTGTTTTAACTTTCAATACACATCATAATCTATAAAATGATAATGGAATATTAATAATTAAATAATATGAATACATGATAAATTAAAAACATAAATCAACAAAAATATTCAACTTCATTTCCATCAAAATTCGAACTCCAAAAATAAATCCTATTCACAAACCTTTGAAAATTACATGCAGACTTTAATGGTGATTTTGAACAAACACTCTCTGATTGAAGAGAAAAACAACGAAACCTATTCGAAAATTTGAGACAGGTTTGTATTTAGGTTTTGCAAGACAAAAACGGAAGCAAGCGAATCAACAACTCGGGGCTTAACAAAATGGGATGGGTCTTTTATAGTGGAGTTTTTTTACCTATATAGGACTAATAGTACTTTTATGTGCACAAATAGGACTCTAAACGTGAGTCATGTTTCGTAGGACTAAAAAGAACATGATTTCCCTTTTTTAGCCTCCACATAAAGGTAGTTGGTAATTAACGTGAGGGAAGTATTTCGAAAAATTCGGCCGGCATCGTGAGGGGAAAGAGGGCGAAAACACAGGGAAACGAAGTGCGACAATTAATATGGAAAATTTTTCCGGCGCAAGGCTCGGCAATCAAGTTTCAAAGCCAACTACCCAAGTAAGTCTAGCCAGTTACGCCATTTCGAAATTTCAATTTCGAGGAGAACTGAAGCCTAAAACCTGGAAGAGAAGAACGAAGGAAGCAATAGAAGTGCGACGATGGCTGGTGACAATGTCGCAAAACAGATGCCTGGATGACAGAGAGAGCGGCATAGAGCAGACCTGGTATGTTGTAAATTTGAACAACAATGTTAAAATTAAGGTTAATTGTATGTGTGAGTATGTAATGGAAGAGAATGCCAAATTTTTTTAATTTTAAACTTGGAAAAATGGAAGATTTGCATAATAAAGGAAAGAACGTTAGGTGTTTGTTGTTTGTTTTTTCGCAATTAATGCACATGTAGTTCTGAAATGGCAAAATGGTGAAGAAAATGGAAGAGGATATGTTATGTTAGAATTAATTGTACAAGCATGTGGAAGTATGTGGTCCTAGTTTAAGCTATTGTTTGTGAGGAATTAGTAAAAAGTAAAGTGTATGAAAGTACATGTTGTCATAATGGATGCAAAGGGAGTCCCTAAATGGAAAAATGATGAAATAAAAGGAATATTTGATAGAAGTAGTGAACGCACAAAGGGGGTGTGTGGAGTGGGTTACTAGGATACATTGCCAATAATTTGGAAATTGATAGAGGGGAATATGGCAGAATGGAAAGAGGGTCAAAAGTAGAATGATAGAAATCTATGAAATTATATGTATTAATAGCGAAAGTGGCAGAAATGGAGTACTGGTTGTAGGGCGAAAATTACAAAGATAGAATGACAAGAATGCCATCACTTGTTTTTTTGAAAAAAATGACTTAAAAATAATAAAGTGTATACAGATGAATGGCACAAAGTATATGTATTCATTTGAAAAAACTTAAAATATGACAATGTTAGTGTTTGTATTGTTTCCAAGTGTAATTGTACCACATATGAGACATTGATTGCCCACAACAAGAAGACGGGTAACATCTAACTTGTACATTATTTTATTGACAAATATTAGATTTGGAACATTAATATGTAAAACTATATTAATTAGTTCCTAATGGGTGCGTCATGATTGTAGGGGCAACTGTGGCATGTACGTATTGAAGATTGCCGAGTTTTTGATGATGGGACTAGATATAAAAGATATCAAGTCAAAGGACATGCCCATGTATAGGAAAAAAATGGTCACCGAGTTGGTGTTGTACTACAACAAGAGGATGGAAGAAGCTAAAAAAAGGGAATGACTTTGAGGATGACATAGTGAAAGATGGCAGAGTGATGGATGAGATGAAAATTAGTTGCTATTGAAAACTTGCCTCAAATGTTAAATTGTGAAGATTTATTTTATCTTTTTTTATAATGTTGACTTAAAATGAAGACGTAGTATTTTGGTTTACTGATGTAGTAAAATTTACAATCTTAATTTTGTGGTGGATTGAATAATTGGTGGGATTTGTTTTGATATGTAAACTATTCGCTTGTTCGAAGTAGGTTATGTCATCTTGTTGGCATTTGTGTATGTTATATATTACTCAATGACATGGCAGAATATGGTAGTATATTACATGTTAGATTCAGGAATGCTTGATTGTTTTCTTGAGATAAAATTTGAAGGAAATCGGTGTGTGTTTTGTATTAAACAAGCATGTAGCATTGAGTTTGAAAAGGATTTCAAAACTATGTACACATAAAGTGTGGGAATTCGGCATCCAATGGTGAACTTTTATCATTTGTAGTAATTATATGGTAGTGAATAAGAAAGCAAAATGTGGTAGTACACGTCTGAAATATGTGTGATAAGGCTTTGCTTTTTGGACTAAATATGATAGTAATGAATTGATTCACAACTTAACATTAAAACATTTTAATAAAAGATTGCCATTTTTTGTCATTATCGTGTGTATTAATAGTAATTACTAAGATGGAAAACAACATGAAAAATTAGTAATTATTAATAGTAATTACTTAGGCCCGGCCGGGCCGCCAGTTTACAACAGAGGGGCCCGGGACTGGCCCGAGAGTTGGACGGGTCCGGTTCGGGCCGGGCCACCCGCCCGGGTCACGGGTCGGGCCACCCGCCGGGCCGGGTATTTTTTTTTTTAAATTTTATATTATATAGTTTTATACAAGTATTAAAAACAAAGTTCAAGTGCATTTATTTGAAATGAAATAGGAACTACATTTGACAATTGAGGAAATTTTAAATTTGAATAAGTTATTTAATGTAAACTTAATTAATTAATTTAATGAATTCAATTAAATTATATATCCAAGTGCTTCATATAAAAAAATGAAGGTATATTTATTTGAAATATGAACTCTAAGTTTACAAGTTACAGTTGAGAATTGAAGGTAAAATTAAAAGTTAAAACATGAAATACTAATCAATCGGAATCTCCGTCATAGGTAGAGCCACCCTCGGTTGATTCATCCATAAAGTGTTGGGATGGAGTAATGTTCATTTCTTGAGCTCTACGGGCCGCCTTCAAACAATCGTGGTAGCATATGAGCGTTTCAAAAGATTCCACGCTCAACCTCGTTCTACATTTTGTTAGGATATTGTCAGCCGAACTAAATTCTTGTTCCACCGTAACTGTTGAAACCGGCATTGATAGCACTTGCTTAGTCATCTTTGCCAAAACCAGAAACATTCTTTCTTTTCCCTTCCACCAGTTTAGAACATCAAACTCATCATCTTCTTCAAAATCAACATCATAAGTTAAATACAAAGAAATCTCATTAATTGTACTTTGTGTTGTGGCGGGTGTTGATTTAGTTTTTTTAATAAGATTGGCAAATGTAGATTTGAAAATTGATTTTCCTTTAGATGAAGATGTTTGTGTCGGGGGAGGGGGCACGTTGCCATATTGTGCATGAAACTCATTAAATAATGAATAAAATATATCACTAACCTCGTTGTATTCCTTTTTCGGATCAATTGGGTTGTCCTCATACATTGGCATTGGACTAAAAAAAGCAGTATAATAAAAATTCAAACATTCTTCTATAAAACCAAGTCTAAATCGAGGATGGAGAATAAAGTCAATACCATAAATATGCGGAATATGTGAATAATATTTTAAAAACTTTTCCTTCATAAAACCAGCAAAATAACTCACATAATCGGCATTCTCAAAATTTGAAAAAGCACCGGCGAGATTAACAGCTTCACGAATAAAATGGTTTGAGGTAGGTTTATAAACATGACTAAAAGTTTCAGTTGCATTATAAAAATATATCAAAGCATTACAAATTTTTTCGCATGTGTCGATCTCAGCCGAGTTTATAATATAGTTATCATATCATATTGTTTCATAAAAGCGGGAAAATGTTGTTTATATCTAAGAAGAATTGTAATTTGTTTATATCTAAGAAGAATTGTAATTAACTTATAAGTACTATTCCAACGAATAGACAAATCTTTAGGAAAAGCCACATATTTTTCACCTCTTTCTATCAAATAATCATGCCATTTTTTTCTAAGTTGACCATTACCCCAAATATGTCTAATCCCCCCCCCCCCCCCCCCCCCCCCTTGACCACCTCCAAAGCATCTCCTAACGCTTTTAGACCATCTTGCACACATAAATTTAGAACATGACATGCACATCGTTGATGAAAAAATCTACCCATCAAAGAAGTAGCACCACACAATTCACGCAATCTAGGAATAACAGCAATATTATTAGTAGCATTATCAAAACCAATAGCAAACACCTTATCATTCAAATTATACTCAATTAAAATACACTCAATCAAAATATAAATATGTTCAGCGGTGTGACGATCATTAAATTCACGAAAAACAAAAACACGTTTATGCATATTCCAATCATTATCAATATAATGTACAGTCAGACCCAAATAATGTAAACTATGAAAAGTATCCTCTCATATGTCAGATAATATAGTAACACGCCCGTCAAAGTTTGCAAAATAATTTTGTAACCTTACCTTTTCCGCACCATAAAGCCTTAAAATTTCTTTCTTAACCGTTTTGGGACTATAACCTCTATATTGAGGATTTAAACAAGTTTGTGCATAATCATGAAAAACAAGACTTTCAGAAAACAAATAAGGCAAATTTTCTTCAACAAGTTAGTCATACCACTCAAATTTTGAGCATCATTGTATGATAAATTACCAAAAGCTTGTTGGTTATTTGCAAACCTCGATATTTGAGTTTGCTTCCCCGTTCCGCCGCCTAATTTTGCATATTCCACCGGGTGTTTGGCCTTAAGATGCCTTGCGGCGGATCCGTATCCGCCGGACTGCCCCAAGCTATAATTTTTCTTGCACCAATTGCAAGTTGTGATCCAATTCCCGGTGTTCGGGTCCTTCCACTTAGAAAAATTATTAGCCATTAGTTCAGGTTTACTTTTTTTCGTACCAGTTTGGGATGAGGCACCCGCCTCGGCGTCGTGGCTGCCGCCACCCTCCTCATCCTCGGTGGCGTCGTGGCTCTCCAGAATTACTTCCTCCACATCGTCGTCCTCGAGCTCTTCTTCGTCAATGGTCCTATAATAATTGATTGTTAAAACTATCGAGCTCTTCTTCGTCAATTCTCCTTATAGTTAAAGTTAAACTATAATAATTGATTGTTAAGAGTATTTTTTTACTGACAATCAATTATTATAGTTTAACTTTAACTATAGGAGAATTAACTAATTTTTTAATTAACTAATCGTAGCAATTCTAATTAACTTTACTAACAATTAACTAGTTTTTTGTACTACCTATCAAGTAATGTTAATACAAAATTAAACAAGTGTAAATAATAGAATGATTGCGTACCTTTTTCGCTCTTTCGGAAATCGGATGGGAGTAATAGAATGACTTCGAATTAATTAGATATAATTCCTACTATCACTACAAACAAATTGCGCGCCAATTACCAACGGTAATTTATACTAACAGGCTATTATTGTTGGTATAGCCCACTTATACCTACGGTCAATCTAGTCCGTTGCTTATTACAATGTCAATATCCACATTATCCTAACTTTGTTGGTAAATGATATACAATTCCTAGCCCAAAATTATACCCGTTGGTATAGTGCTTAAAACTTCCAACAATTATTATTAAAACCGTAACTTCCTTAAGTATATGTGTAGCTAAAAAAACTGAAATCAATCCTAATAGAAAGTGGCATTCAACATTCAAGATTACAAATCGAATAGAATCTGATTCATAAAATTTAAGAACGGCCATTTTTTTTGACAAAAGATTAAATTTTATCCTAAAGAAAAACTAGTACTAGTACTCTAGCCAAATCCTACTATCCTGACCTCGCCCAACTTGAAACCTGCGCCGTTTGCTCCGCTGCTCGACTTTGAAACGGGAACCCGGTGCTCTGGAGCGACGAAGCCATGAGGACGGAAGTTGGACGAACGTCGAACGATGACCGTCGAAGGTGACGACTCGCGCGACTGAGAGACGACTGCCGCCACCCAGCGCCAACGCACCACTGGCCCACCGGCCCTGTCCCCAGGTCATCGACACAAATCAACCGTCAAACTATAGATGTTGCCGATCGGGCTAAGACGTCGGAATTGAGTTACGGAGGCGGAACATCCTCCTAGCCGACGAACACGTAAGGGGAGGATCAAGAGATTATATAAATGATTGAATTTCTAGTATATATTGACATATTGTTTATTTTAATATTCTATTTCCTTTTCTCGTCTATCTCGCTAGCTGCAAGTGTCTCTGTGTTAATTTGTATAATCTTCTTAATATCTGCTTTAAGGGCCACATACGTTAAGATGTTCTTCCTTAAATTCAACCCGTGACTTTGACATTGATTCACAGCCTTCAAATGGATTTGATAAAAAAATATGTTCATAAACTGTTTGCTGAATTGCCTAAGTCAATCGCTATTTGTCGACTATTGAATATCTCTTAATTTTAACAATAACTATGTTAAGATTGCATCTGAATTTATAGTCTTTTATGTTCCCTTTCTTTATTTTCATTCCTTTCTTCAAGTTGTTTAAGTCATCTTTATGTGTGATCTATACAAAAATATTTCTCACTGTTTATTATTCATTTAACAAAACACTATGAGGGGTTGTTTTAATTTCAGGATTAGAGAATTGCGGCTAAACGTGGAAGAACAAAGAAGCTTTGGACAACAAATTGGACTTCAATTTGTATTTTTCATTTAGGTTATTTTATATTTGGATATATTAATATAGAGTAATCTGTATATACAATTTGCTACGTCTTACCAATTTATATATTTGATAAAATCTAGGATGTTTAAAGTCCATGAGGATGATGTGGGGGATGGTATACTTCAGTAGTTGTTTTAGCTGGTGAGCTTTTAAAGGAGGCAGAGAATCTTGTAAACTCCAGGTTCATCAAATGACAATCATTTCAGGTTTGTCCCATTTGAACTTATCATGTAATTCATCTGCTTGTATGTTCTGAAACTTTTGGTTCACATATAAATATATAATATCAATTGGCATGTGTAACTTCTAGTTGATCGTATGGGCGGTGTGATTCTGGTGTTATCTCATTAACTGAGTTTCTTATTCTTAATCTTAGGATTCCGTTGGGCTATGATAACTTGTTCTCCTGATAATCTAGCTTGTCACTGCATTGTGAGTTTTTCCCCCTCTTGTAAGATGTGCCTCTTTTTCTGAACAGGAGGTTGGGCTATTATCTTTTTTTGTCATTTAATGAACAGGAGGTTGAACAACAATAGCTTGTCTGGGGCGATACCTCTTTCTTTATCCAGGGTCGCTAAACGTGCTTTCTTGTAAGATGTGCCTCTTTTTCTTTATTTCTTTTGTTTTTAGTCCTCTCTTTTTGTGTTTACTTTCTTTCTTTCATTCAATATCTTCTGGATGAAATTCTTCAAATTACTTCTTTCTAAAAAAAGGATGAAACTTCTTCAAATCACTTGGCTGTAGTTTGGTGCCTTATACTAGAAACTAACGTAATTTCTTGGTGAAAATTTGCATCAGTCATACCAAAGACTCCCTAAACTATTCCAGATTATGAAAATATATGTCTTTGTTTTCTTTATCTTGCAGGGCTTATATAATAAGTGTTTCTGTTAGCTTTTCAGATGAGCTACTTCTTTTTCTTTTGTACATAGGTCCACTTTTAATATAATAAACTAGCTTTCCAGCAAATTTTTACCAAGGAGTATATGAGGCCAGAGTCATTATCAACTACTACTACAAGTTATAAGCTACTACGTATTAGCTAATGTTATAAATTAGCCTACCTATAATCTTATTTTATCAAACATACCCCAACTTTTGAACTGTAAATCTCCATACAATTAGCCTATTAGCTATTAGCTATTAGCTTTTTGATATTGCAATCAGCTGATCATACTGCTTATACCAAAAGGCTAAAACAACTGATGGCAATACACTCAACTGGTCAAAATAAGCTAACACAATCAATATTCAACTAACAGGCATTTACCGAAGAAGGCCTTATGAGTCATTCATCTTTGTTTTTCCATTTTATTTTTTGATCAGATCTGCCAAATGAGGAGCTAATAAAACTGAGGAACCTAAGAAGCTTTGGTTTCAAATATTGCACCACCCAAAGTCAGCTTTACCAAACTCATATGCTATCAGCCTATCACTATATCAGTTTCTTTTTCTAGGACATTAGCGTAGAACTGTTTGTCATGTTTTTTTAGTATTTATGACTTCCATTTGCTCACTATTATGTAATCTAGGATGTTTAGCTGAAAAAATATCACATAGGTAAAAGTTTGATGTTAAAGTGTTTTCTGTAGAATGGAACTTTTAAAAGGTAATTTTTTTTTAAGAATTACCATATTATACATTACCAGGTTGGTAGGTAAATTAGTATAGAATCTCGATTCATGATTGATTTGATTCATAACCTAATAGCTCATAAATCAAAGGAAAAGAAGTTTTAGAACTTTTAAATGCATGACTCCAAACTATTTGGGTTTTCTTTTGTGTAGCAGTTATAATTATTAATGCATTAAATTGTAGGTTCTCTTTAAGTTTAGAATGTTTTATTATGCTGGTTATTAGTTTGCAATCTGGAATTAGTTTGCAATGCGGAATTAATATGCAATTAGTGTTTTGGTTATTAGTTTGATATATGAATGGAATATGAAATTACTTCTTAATACCAGTTTACAATCTGAATGTATTGAAGTTTAAGGTTTACTGATGTATTCCTCTTATTCATTTCTTTCTTTTGATGGTTTAATTCATCTGTATTTTCTTATAGTTTATTATTCATTCGGCTAAACATTGTGATTTTTTTTTTAATTTCAGGTATTGAGATTTAGTTGATCAAGTGTTGAAAGATAAAGAAGCTTTTGGACAAATGAAACTTGGGTTGCTCCTCGAGCCAAACAGTTATGTTATATTTGGATGTATTCACATGTAGTAGTCAAAATTTTATGTTTTTTCAAAAAATTCAGTGATGTTATGACTTCATATCGCATTTCTTTGTTTAGTATGATTGTTGTTCACTTTATTAAAATGTTTAATTAGTAATTTTGAACCATACTTGAAATTATGTTTTAATTTTAGACCTCAAAATGTAATTCTATTTTGGATGTACATGTGAGTATTTTGTATATGAATTAAAATTTAATTATTGTTAAATACAATAAGAGTAATATCAATGGCATATGAAGTGTTGCTATAGCATAAAGCCAAGTAAAATTGGTTCAAGTCTATACCAACGGTAAATAAGATTACTAACAGTTAGTGCACTATTGGTACAATTTAATGAGCTATTCAGGCGGGCAAGTATTATGTTAGTTTTGGTCTATACCGACGGAACGTATACCAGCACCCATTTTTTTGCGGGAATTGCATTAATTTCCGTTGGTATAGCCAAATGATGTTTATTCCAACGGTTTATCTATTTATACCAACAGTTTTCTTACTGTTGGTAAAAGACAGCTTGTTTGTAGTATATATTAATAGATATATTTGCAGAATCGTGCCCGCCCCGCCCATCCCCACCGGTTCGGGTCCAAGCCCGGTCCCGGACCGCCCGGTCCCGGACCGCCCGACCGGGCCGGTCCCGTACCGCCCGACCGGGTCGGTCCCGTACCGCCCGACCGGGCCGGTCCCGGGCCCGCACAGTAGCGGGTCGGGCCGGGTCACGGGCCGGGTGGCCCGAACCGAATCCAAGCTTACTCCAGGTGGCCAGCCAATAATCTCACTTATAATATGGGGATATATAACTATAGCATGACATGGCTGGGCGGGTAGCAATAGCAGTAACAACGTGGACACAAACGAAATGAGACAATTGAAACTCCCCACAACTGCATATCTTAGCATTAAGATCAACTACAAATGACCGACAATGCCTATCCACAACTTCAAACTCTGTATATGATGCTGGCTTGACCTGTATTGTTTTAAAATATTAAAAACGAGTAAAAGTCAAAACATAGAAATTCAGAGAAATGGGATGTTAGAAAAATTCAGGGAAAGATGGAATAATGATGTAGCGCATACATAATGTTGCGATATGTTGCTTGTCTATGGTTTCCTTGCCTAAAGTCCATGGAGCATGTATGTGTTGAGTCAAACCTGCAATGTGGAAATATGTGAAGTATTGGCAGAAATGCCAAAATTGTGGCACATTGTACAAACATGAGAAAGGTAAAATAAAGATAACATGGGAACATACCTTCTAATCTGAAACATTTGAACACCACGTAACTTGACACCCCTGACAGCCCATTTGCATTTCTCGTCACAACAAACAACATGCAACACAATTTTCTTTGATGTGCGTGTTTCGTATTGAAATCCATTATCAATGACATACAACCTCAAATGGTGAATGAGGTCATATTTAGATTTGTATATGGCATGTTTCATGATCTGAGTGGGATGGTAGTGAGTGATAACTTTCACATTATGATGGAAGTAAGATGACTCGGTAGGAAGTAAATGAGTAGGAGGTGACTGACAAGGGCTCACGTCAGACAATGGACTATGACATAGGCTATCATTGATTCTGATGGGACTTTGTGATCACCGAGAGACATTGGATTCATGACGAACAAGGGTGTAAGAGTTAGATTCAGAATTCAGACCACTAATATTGTCATGTTCTTTAGAAGAAACTTGAGACGATGAAGCAGAAATATCAAGTATGACATTTTCCATTGCAGGCACCGTGCAAGGATTAGGAATATCAATTGAAAATTCCACACACATGGGGTACTTGCTGAAATAAGTATGAAGAACCTTAAGGTTAAGGAAAAAAGGAAAAGTGTCTTCACAGATATATACAGGTGGAGGGAAACCATCAACCATATAAGATAACTTG